TGAAACAATCTTTGAATATGAGAAAAGTCTCCGCAAGTTGGGTGCCGAGAATGCTAACCGACAGTCAGAAACAAAGTCGACTTGACATTTCGAAGACATTGTTGGACAAGTTTCAAGAAGATTCTGATTTTTTTTGTCTCGTTTTGTAACAATGGATGAAACATGGGTCCATCATTTTGATCCCGAGACAAAACAGCAATCTTCGCAATGGAAACGGCCATCATCACCGACTCCGAAGAAGTTTCGTGCCGTGGCATCGGCTGGCAAGGCTATGGCCTCAATATTTTGGGACTCAGAAGGGATATTGTTTATTGATTTTTTTGAAAGGGATTGAACCTTTGGAAAAGCGCTGGACTCGCTATGTAGAGAGACTCGGAGACTATGTAGAAACATAAATTATTTAGTTATCAATAGTCATTATATTCTATCTCATTCTCACTACTTTTTGATACCCCCTAGTATATAAGTCGTTCCTTTGCGAAACTATGTTAAGTTCCAGATATAGTTTGTTTTACAATTATTGCCAAGATTATTACCACTTTAAGATCGCTTTAGAATTCGTTAGCACTGCAGTAATAATCAGTGTGGGTATTGGAAAATCAGACATTGAATGATAATTACGATTAACGACTTACATCAATTTCCAACAATAAATTTAATAAGTTATATTAATAAAAAGAAAAAACCCCAGACTCGTCAGCAGACAGAAGTGGTCGTGGACTAAAATATATGACGCCCGGTGCATTCATATCGAGCGATGTCATTGTGCCGGTGATCGAATCCCGTAGGCAGGTATACATTTTTCTAATAAAATACGTAGCTACTTAACAGAGGCTCATGAATAACTTTTTTTATTGCTTACATGGGTAGATGAGCTCACAGCTTACCTGGTGTTGAGTGGTTTTATAACGTAAATACGCCACCCACCTTCAGATATAAGTTCTAAGACTTCTAAGGTCTCAGTATAGTTACAACGGCTGCCCCACTCTTCAAGCCGAAACGCATTACTGCTTCACGGCACAAATAGACGTGGTGGTGGTGCCTACCCGTGCGGACTCACATGAGGTCCTACTACCAGTAAAAATCGATCGACTCCAGTGACCACTCAACACTAGGTATACCGTGAGCTCGTCTACTCATCTTAATATTTACTTTTACTACAATAAAAAATACTTATTTAGACAGCTTTACTATTCAAAAGAGAGTGAGTATTTTATTTTGTTAATTTTTGCGGGCTTGATTCTTATTACACGATGCTATTACTTCACTATGGAAGTCAATCGTGAACATTTGTTAAGTACGTATTTCATTAGCAAAACTGGTACCTGGGGGTTTCGAACACCGTTGCATCGCTCGACACGAATGCAGCGGACTTCTTACCCTTTGGCCACGACAAATTCAAAATTACATTATACAACAAAATTGAGAGTTCAACTTGTGTATGAAGGTGCCGGGGGGCATTCAGGTCAAAATGTCCGTGAACTGTGGTAACCGTCCAAATCCAGGCTGTATACGAGCTTCTCCACCCATCTAATGTAATAAAAAACAATTTCAGATAAATCAATAACAAATTCACTTCGCTATGAAGCTATTCTTTTCAAAAAAGGTTGACCTTTGAATTAATCCGAATCGAAGTATGAAGAATTTATTGAAAAAAATATTCGATCAAGGTTTTATTAAATATCTTCAAACAATGTAAAGAAAATAAATTTGTAGCTAACCTAATGTAACCAATGAATCATTTGGTCTTATCTGTGGAGCCACTCACTGAGAATATCCGGGGAAAACTCAGGCGATTATGTCTGTGGGTTAAGTTGCATGTCGAACACTTCGCCACCCACTGAGTTTCTTGTTGGATATTCTTATTGGGTCCAATTCAGTGGTAGATTCTGCGAAGCACTGCCCTTGGCTAGGGCTAATTTTAGCAAATTCTCTCAGGTTGAGCCTGTGTGCTCATCTACCCGTAGTTGTAATAATTCCCGGCAAATAGGTAGGAGAAAAAAATATGATAAGAAAGCTACCTAATAGGTCGGGTTGCTTTTTCAAAGAAACCGCGTCTATGATCGCTTTTGGTCTAGAGACCTCGCCACTTTCCTAAGCCGGATGGGCTATTGTAAATTATTTTGTGGTCGTTTTTTGTAATAACAAACAAGGAATTTCAATTTTCCACGCTCGAATCGATTCTTTGGTTTTAGATTGAAAATAATAGTTTAAAAAAATACGCTTTTATAAAAAATCCAACTAAAAAATAGAAAATAAATTTTAATAAATTTGAATTAAAAATAGTGTAAGAATAAAATGATCTTATTGTAAAAAAAGCGTGGGTGGTTTTCAGGATATTATCAAAATATTTATAACTGTTATAACCATGCACCCCACGCTTTCTTTTTACAATAAAGTCATTTATTCATACATTATTTTTAATTAAAATTTATTTTCTATTTTTTAGTTGAATTTCAATTTTATCAATATTTTTTTTCAATTTTTCAATAATTTCATATAAATCAGTCGATAACTTATCTGAGAAATAGGTGATCGGCACGCCTGGTAGTTTCCCTCCTTGGTCTTGACGCAGACACTCCGGGTTTCAGGAAAACAAAAAATCGCTAACCCTGATTATCCTAGTAAGGATAACGGATCAAACTGTTTAAAATATTGAATAGTCATCGGTCCTTAATAAGTATGCCAAATTTTGAGTTAATCCGACGTTTTGAAGGGGGTCAAAGTCATGTTCAAATATTCCGTTAAATACAAATTCGTTTGAAGCTAATACAGGCGTATTAAAAATCGATCTTACATTAACGTATCACCATCACTATTCAAAATAGTTATTCATGTCACGTGTAGGGAGTTTTTGGCGGGAACGCGAGGAGTGAAGTTGCACAAATATGGGAAAATGAAACAAAGTCGCTGGACGTAGCTTCTCGGGATCCTTCAAAAAGTCCACTGAAAAAATCAGTAAATGACCACCATTTTACTGAGATTATATTTCATCGCATATAATCTCATCTCATTTCATTTCATTTCATCCCAGTTGATTAATGTCTCAAATTAATCATCTTCATTTCATTTCATGCCATGTTTCACTTCATTTTGTTTCATAATGTCATATTTCATAAAATAAAATTATAAAAGATTAGGCTGTATGGTATGATACTTTTGCCTTTCCATTTGGAAAAATAAAACTACTACATTACGAAGAGAACAAAATATTATAAGTTTATTTAATTACAATACATAAGTACGTAAACGAGTGGAGCAGAGAAATGCAAATCAATAAATAAAAACAGGAAGTTTCAAAATTAATGGATCTATATTAGCACTCAAATATATTGAGTGTATAATCTATGATTAGCACCATCTAAACACCATAATAGATATTATACAATTTTACATTTTAAAATGAATAGCTATGTTATAAATTCATTCGTCGGCGAGGGCTCATTTGGACGTGTTTTTAAAGCAAAACACAAAGATACCGATGCTGTAGTAGCCTTGAAAGTGATAAGGAAGGTATTTATTAAGTTTTTATGACTTCAAATACTTGGTGCCTTCATGATTTCCTATTTTTTTTCTATAAATGTTTACCATCAATACAAATAAATTACAAAAAAAACTTGCGAGTGCTTAATAAATCTTCATTTCCACTATTTCCAAAATAATATATGTAATAAGATCATTAATAAAATGTGATAAAATAATAATTGTACACCCAACAGAAAATTTTAATAACCAGGTTTTCTTATTCACAAGTAAAATTGTAAATGGTCTTATTCAGTTATCATGATCCCAATGTCTTCGCTGTCATGATTATCATTGTCAAACCTCTTGTCATTCACCTTAGTTTACAAACAAATATTCTTACACAATAATTCAACATTTTCAGAAAGGTCGTTCGTCTAAAGACTTAAAATGTTTGAAGCAAGAATGCGACATACAGAGGCAATTGAATCATCCAAACATAATCCGAATGATAGACAGTTTCGACACTGATACAGAATTAGTAGTTGTCACAGAATATGCTGAGAAAGAACTACATGGAATATTGGCTAAAGAGGGTTGTCTTAATGAAGAACAAGTGAAGAAGATTACTTGGGACCTTGTGTCTGCACTGTACTACTTACATTCTCATAGAGTTTTACATAGGTAACTTGTTTGTTTCATACTTTATATTTTATATCAAATAATAATACTAAACACACATTATGAATATTATATCATTATTAATGTATATCATTATTATATCTAAACATTTTTTGAACCTTGGCAGGGGGCATAGCTAGGTGAAATCAGTATAATTTATTCATTTTTTCTCTATAGCCTGGCTTATAATAGATACATTCATCTTATATCTCAATGTGGACAGTTATATTGATTGGTTCTGGATACTGAATCTATTAAGATTTATTTAAATAAAAAGATTAATTTGTAAAAAAATTGAGAGTAGGATAGAAAGTTATTGTTCTTATAGTTAATATTTAATTTGATCTGAGCTTTTAACGTTGAAATTGGATATTGAAGTAATTCTCATTGAATAAAATTGAGAAAGAAAATAATCATAGGAATATCTGTGA